TTACAGTAGTTTACCATGATGAACATTATAGCCACGCTGACTGGAGCTATGTACATGTTTTTGTTGTGTTAGTGTTTCCCGTATCAGCGGTTTGAGACTGAAATACTTATCGAAATTTTTAGACTGTTTGCTTTACCCCTCCTTTTGGTTACTCGGGCGCCAGAAGTTCACGGCCGTGGTTCTGTGCTATGCGGCCTGGTCTGTGGGTTGTTTTTGTAGTCCCTCGGTTTATCTGTGAGTTGACAATACACATCCTGCTCTGGTATTATCTCCTTTCATCATCAGGTAAGTTCTGGCGTTCTGCTTTGGTGGCAGTCAAAAGTGAACCCGATCCTAAAGGACAGCAGCCCCTAGTCTCTAGTACTGATTAGTAATTCTTAACTTTACTGAAGTAGAGCATATTGCTGTGTATAGGGGTGTCTGTGACGATTTGAACAGAAGGACTGAGAGTGACGTCCACCTTCGTCATCTCCCTTAGTCCCCTGTCCTGTAAATGTGCATTATAGAGCCGTCTACCATACCTTTTTGAAGATGTTTATGTAGTAAGCATGCGATACTTCCTTTATATCTCTACTAGCCCGGTAGAACTCAAACATGTGTCTGTGGCAACACTAAAGTGAAAAAAAATGACGAGGAGTTGTAGGAGCGAAACCTTATCCCTATGAAGCTGTTCTAAACTTCGTCCTTCATTAAGCAACTCTGCTTTTAGTCAAACGTTCTTACAACTAGTGATGCACGTACAAAGTGGTCAGGGTATTCTCCTTTCTTCCAAAACACCCGTATCGAGTAGAATTGCCGAGGGGAACTAGTGGCGTTGCGGTCGAGTATCTTCTCGGTTGCCTGCGAATTCAATTATTGGGGTGGTTGTTCTTATAGAAATGACTGCGCTATGAATGCCAGCGCAGGAGGATGACCAAGAGGCAGTTCAGTAATGATTTAATAGTTTGCTTAATTCTTGGGTGCGGCTTCGTGGATTCTTAATGCTCCGCTTCTGCACTTCCGCTGGATGGCATGCCCTCCGAGCCATGCCAGTAACATCTCAGTCCTTTTGTGTGTCAACAATGCATTTTCTGCCTCAATGTTATGCCATTTTTGTCCTCAGATTGTAAAATGGGTGATTTTGCGTACCATTTACCATAACGTGACAGGCGTGTCAAGTATCCGGCACAAATCGCATTATCGAAACTGAACGGCGTCCCATTCCATCAAGATGAGAACCGAGGTCATGGAGACTGAAGATAGATATGCAACAGCTTTTAGGTCGTACCGGTGCTACTCTTACGTTGTGGTGTAATACCGGGGTAGTTGCCATGGTTTGAGCAGTTCATTTTCAACGCGCTCCGGAGGTGGCAACAAACAGGTTACTGAGTCCCTCAAGTAGCATTGCTTCAGCAGGAAAGTCCCGTAGCTATGAAGCGGTCAATTCCACTGGTTTTCAGCGTCTCTGTCCCTGTTCCAGTGAATCCAGCTATTTAACACTTGTTTATAAGTTCAGATTTGTATAGAGTGATGGGGGCCTTATTTTGGGGGCAGAAATGGAAGATTCACGCCTCTAAACAGAAGGAGTCTTTGCTGAGTTTTCCGCCTTGGCTACTAGGACTGAGCCGATGCAATAGTAAGTAGACCTTTTGATTCTCTCTTAAGGGTGCACTGGATACCTTCTTCCCCCTTAGAGACGCCGTCGCAAGAAATGAATGAGCTGGCTGCTGTCACGGAAGAGCATCTCTGGCAGAGGACTGAATCTGTAAAGACTGACAACGGAATAGGCTATTGGATTAACGATTCCTTCTGCAACTATCCTGTTTTAAAGTAACGGGGTGTGACCTGAATTTACTGAGTTCGGATGGTCTAGAGGGTAGCTTCTTATATTTCATCCGGGTCTCGCCTTTTGAGAGATGTTCCCACACAAGTGATCAGCGCAAAGAATGCACCCACTGCACAGCCTTGACCGAATCTACATTGTGCCTCCAAAATTTTGCCGAGGGAGTGTCTGACATTTGAACGCTGTCGAAATCCACGAGATGCACCACGGTCGTTGAAGGTGGAGGAAAAAAGGAGGGCATTTTGCAATATCGAACACGCGGATTAGTCACCAAGACTTTCAAAGACAACGCTCACAAAGTGGTATTTACTATTTCCCTCTCGCCGCCTATTCCACTCTTGTGCCCAAGGCATGAAGCTAAGCGAACCCCGAGGGAAGTTGAAGCTAAAATACACATGAAATTTCCGCTCCATTTATGGACTTGCTCCCAACGTTTAACTATCATCCAGAATGCCTGTCCGTAGGGCCGAATCATTTCAACACAGTTTGGTTCACTTTGCACTCTGAGAACAGAGCCATCAGGGTGGTGTGGCTGTCTTCAAGACGGCTTCTTCATAGGGCTTCTTGAGAAAAATTCACTCGTCTAACGCTGTTGTGTGCACCCAAGTACGCATGCACTAGCTCTGTCGCCTGACTGACGGTGTCTGGGTCGGCACGGCACACGACATGTCGGGCCAGCGATGGTTAAGAAAACGCATTCACCACTTACCACCAAGCCATGCCTTATCAGGAGGTTAACATCGCTTTCCTCCCTTTCTTCCCCCACTTACCCCCACCCTCTCCGCTTGTAAATCAAAAGCTCCGGTTAAAATTTAACCAAATCCCTTACCTCCAATCGCCTTAGCTGAGACGACGAATATCACCGCCTGGTGTAATATTATGCGTCCAGTAATGGGATGCACGAAAAGTGGTGGAATGCATATACTGTGCCATTCTGGGCGTTAGTTGGCGTTGGATGAATCATCCACACCCGTGGCGCTTTTCCATTCACCAGTCACCTTATACATGCACTCGTTATCATGGCGGTGGGAGAAAGAGGGCAAAAGTACAAGGAGGCGATTAAAGCGTCAAGAGAAATTAAGATTTTTGCCTAGTCTGCGGTATTTCGAGGGCCTAAGTTGACTCGTTTCATGGGAAAGTACCTTGATTTGTGTGCAGAACACGCCAGAGGAAGAGCCCCCCTCCGCTACCATCGTCTCGGTGGCCGCAATGTTACTGCCCTGCTGAAGTAGCAGGGTCTCAGACTCTCCTGGGAATCTGCCCCTTTTGGAAACCCATCTCATCGACCAGGCACTGTTAGGGTGCCAGGTCTTTCCCCA